ATATAATAAAATAAAAAATTATTTTAGTGTCTTTTTAAACACAGAAAAATATTGCAGTTACCTGAAGTGAAGTGTAATAACTACAGCTTCCTACTTCCCTACACCATGACTGAGTAACAATATATAATTGTTAAATGACAAAAATGCAGGTCACAAGTCTAGTATATAAAAAAAACAAAAAAAAAACAAACCACAGTAACTAAAACAAATCTCTAGCTTTGTGGCCGTCAGATAAAGGTCTTCAGACTACTATAAAGCAGGTGACTGGTATACAGTTTCCAACATGGAAGCAACCAGAACTGTGACATGGGTAGCTACTGAAACTTTCTGCCCAGTACACCCCGCTGAAAACCAAATCACTCTGATTTGTTAAGCCAAATAAAAACAAAAAACAAAAAAAAAACAAACCTAAATAAAAAAGGTAAACAAATAGAAAACTAGATCTCTAGGGATGCACAGGTACCGGTATTTCAGTACGAGAAACTATTTTTTTTCTGGTACCTGCCGATACCGGAAGTCCCATTAAGGAAGCCAGGCGGCATGTAATGACTCGCCACCTGGCTTCCCGATTAGTCGTAAAGCCGGGCAGCGTGTAAAGACTCGCCACCCAGCTTCCCGATTTTCAGGGAAGCCTTCCCCATGCTTTCTCGTCGCTAGGTGACGAGAAAGCATGGAGCCAGCTTTCTGGCCAATCAGGAAGCTGGCGCCGTGTAATGACGCGGCTCCTGGCTTCCTAATTGGTCAGGAAGCTGGCTCCATGCTCCCTTGTCATGAGGGGACGAGGGAGCATGAAGCCAGCTTCCCGACCAATCAGGAAGCTGGGCAGCGAGTCATTACAAGCTGCCCGGCTTCCTGATTGGCTGGGAAGCCGGCTCCATGCTTTCTCCTCACCATCCCGAAGCCGGGCAGCGTGTAATGACTCGCTGCCCCGGCTTCCTGATACCGGAAGTAACGGGCTAGATATCGGAGCATTTATGCGAGTATGAGTACTCGCCCAAATACTCGGCACCGATAGCGATACTAGTATCGGTGCATCCCTAATTATCACTCTAAGAAAATAGCTGCATCATTTTGTTTACTTATTACACCAATTTATTTTATGCATTCATAGTATGCAGCCCTTTACAGAGCTTTACATCAGTCTCTGACTCCAAAAGAGGCTTAGAAGTTTATTCTTCAATGTAGGGCATTTTTCTATTTGGAAAACATATTTTTAAAAAAATTACTTTCTTACTTAAAATAATAGACCAAAAATTATTTATTATACACATTGAGATACATCTTTAAAACCTACCGCCATGAAGTAAACAGTTCGTATGCATTTGTTTTGATCCAGTTTAAGGGCCCAGTCACACCATATCCAGTGTGTTCTGGCACAATTCGAGCCTGGTACACACTGGATTGCATACATCAAGCTGGGCCGTGTTCTGGGGCGGGAGGGGGCATGGTGGTGCCATTCATGTCAATAGCACTGCAGACACGCCTCCCCACTAGCAGTGCGATCGCCCACACTAAAACACGTGGTATTGGAATGCCCTGTGTTCCGGTGTAGTGTGATCAAAAACAAAATAGTGCATGTATTGGATATGGTGTGACTGGGCCCCAAAAGGCATATTCCACTTTTTGCACACACAAAACAAATGCACCCATACGGCAAAAATGTGAATTTTTTAGCATTGGAAGGTACTGGTAACTGATAGTTTTTTCATTCACATATTCTGCGAGTAGATCTGTGAATGTATGATGCAGCTGTGCGGGTGGCGACACACCAAATTAAAAACAATACAGAAGCCTGCAGAGAGAAACACATGATTCAGGTTATGGGGGGGGGGGGGCGGTTTGGGGGGGGGGGGCGTTGTTTGGCAGTTTGAGGGTGGGGGGCTGCGGAATGGCACCGTGTTCCTTGGTACACCTTAAATATGGGTGTAATTTGAAACGTTATGAAAGGTGGAATTAGCTTTTAAAGTGAACCTGTACTTTGGCCATTCAGGGCAAGGAAGAGGTTCATTGGGTAGCCTGTACCTCTATTGTGCTCCCCCATTGTGTGCCTCCATTGCTCCTTTTATCCACTGGAGCCCCTCTCCCCTTCCTTCTCTGATGCAGTTTTCAGAGCAAGAACAGCCAACTGCCAGGCCTGAGTACTCTATTACATGGGGGAAGGAAGGGGGTGGAGGTCCTAAACCCTGCCTTAACTTCAACCCAGAACTGGGAGGCATTGGCAAGAGCAATAGGAGTGGGGGAGGAAGGGAGTGAATTAAAAGACAAGTATCAGCAGTTGAGGGGGTGGGCCATCCAGCAAACATTTTATTTCATCCTCAACAAGCAAAAGTACAAGTTTCCTTTAAATAAAAGTGGCGGATTATAAGCAGCACCAGTAATCTGCTGTATCTCAGACCATTAATGTTTATACACAGTTACAGGAGGAGATGCACACCAGGCAATGCATTTAACTGTCCTGTATAAGCAAACATCTGTAAATAATTTAAAAGAATTAGTTTCTTGATAGATAAAAAAAAAACAACAAATGGAGAAAAAAGAAAATGTAAATTCATGCATTTCACACATCAAGCCGTTTTACAGTGATGATTTCACAGTTTAATACTATTTACATGAAAATAATAATCCACAGGTATGTAAAGAATGTATAAATAACCACATTCACAAGATCCCAGCTGCAGTTGCAGCTTTATAGCGAGATTAAGAAATATGTTTGAAGTTTAAAAACAAGGTGCCGGGGCGTGGCTTGAGCTGCCAAGCATGGAGGACGTGTGTTAGCTCGGCTCCTCATCACCCGGACACCTAAGCTGTATCTAATCTATATTTTGGCATAATTGTCCTTCCATTCTTCTCCCTGCCTTTCCCCAGACCCCTTTTCTGTACCTCATGGGGGGGAAAAAAGGGTCCAAGCCTCGCAAATCGGAGAAATTAGAGAAGACTCAACGCGCTTCTGCCTACCATTTCTCTTATCTTACACTTCGTGTTGTCCTACTGACCACCAAGGTTATACTTGCGAAGTCCCGCAGTGGATATGCAAGATTATTGCACATGGACCTAGTTCACCTACGAGTTGAATAAACAGGCTAGGTCGAGACATAGGCAAAGTCAGTGTACTGTTATGTAATATTAGAATGCATACCGGACTGTTATCCGGGTACATGAGTTTTGATTTGATTAGGTAAATATCCATACATAGTTTGCTACAGTTTCATCTATATTGTACACCTTTTTTGGATGTTCTGCATTATACTATGTACAATTCTATGCAAAATTCAAAATAAAGAAAAACATGTTTAAAAAAAAACAAAACAAAAAAAAAAAAAAAAAAACAAGGTGCCAAGGCCCCTGTAAACGAGTACTGACGGAACACACTGGGTATATTCTGAAATAAACCACTAGAGGGCGACAGTGCAAGTACAATGCCCATCAAAAACATAATACAAAGTCAAATCGTACTTCTTGACACTTAATCCTTCACGTATCACTATGCAGAAAAGTCTTCTCAAGAGCTTCAATAAACCTCCGCTGCAGTTTTAATTTAAATTGCCTGTACCATTCTAGAATCCGTTTCCTCCTCTGGATCTTCTCTTGTAAACTCATGTTCTTTTCGTTATCTAGAATACTGGGAAGCTCTTTCCAAGACTTAAGGAAAATAAATGGAGCTCCAAATGACTTTAATAACCGCAAAGGAGTGTTGCTGTGTACAGAAGAATTTCCACAATTCCCTGGTGTCATCACATCTTCTACTACAGGAACAGAGCCATAAGAGCAAGCCTCATAAATTCTATAGCACTCTGTGTTTATTCCTACTGGGCTTAGTGTAAGGTCACTCTGGAGCAGTGCATCGTTGTAACTTTTAAAACTCTCATTTGTCTCCTGTGGCTGCCACCTGTTACAAGAAACACAAATGTTTATGCCTTATACTCGTATCAAATGCATTTCATTCATCCATTGCTGATAGTAGGGAAAATAATGTAATATATGAACTCATTCACAGAATAGGTTTACTTTGAAGAAGACATCTTTTTTCGTCTAAAGAACCTTACTCAAAACAGTTTGATGCAAGTTAAAGCAGAACTCAGGGCACAAATTCTATTAACCCTTCCAGTGGGGCTACCCCCACAATGCAAGGGTTAACCGCTTTTTTTGGTCTAGGTTCAATAAAATTATATACCCACCCGTTCCTCAGAGCCCGACGGCTGTCACAGCACTCGCTCCAGCCTCTCTCCTACTCCGCTGCAGCGACGGTATGACCCTCGGTGTCCTCACATCCTATACACTGTTTATAGAACATGACGACTCAGGAACCTTAGCCCGCTGCAGCGGATGGGGAGAGACGCTCCAGAGGACCGATGTAATAGCCGGCCGGCTCAGTGGATGAGGCGAGTATAACTTTCTTTTTTTAACCTAGACAAAAATGAGCAGTCAACCCTTGCAGAGGGGGTAGCCCCAGTTCAAGTGTTAATAAAATGGTGGTTTAAGCTTTTTTTTCTTGCTCTTTCTATAGAAACAATGTACCAATGTACCAGAACGTATAGATGTAAAGAGGGCCTAAAACAAACCCTCATTTAACTCTGTAGCTGCAGGCATTTGTGTAGAAATTCATCTTTAAAGTTCACAACAGAGGCAATTAAATCACTGCTCCTTTCTCCTTTTCTACTGAGAGCAGAAACTTGGCAGCTTGCCCGACCTCAAATATAAACACACAGCAGGTGTTTCTGAGCTGTTGTAAAGTAACAAAAACAGACTTTAGAGGCTTTGTTGTGATATTTGAGGATGCATACAGGTGCCCATACACTTTACAACCCTCGCAAGACTTATGTTCGGCAGCTGTCGAACAAGCAGGCCACTAACCCGCCGAGAATCATACGATTCCCGGCGGGTTTTCCAGCCTGCTTGTTCGACAGAAGACGTGCGACCATACAGTAGAAACGGTCGCATGCCTTCCATACACTGCACGATTATTGTACGAGAATCGTGCAGTGTATGGGCACCTTTACTCTACAGTACATGCACCTAGAGGAATCAGTTTGGGTTTATTTAATGTACAATAACTGCTTGTTAAGAAGATGGAAATACTTGGATAGTCAGAGCACAGATGCAGTTAAAAAAGTGCAACTGTGTCCAGATAATGGAATCCGTGATGGCATTACAAGGAATAAACATTTTCTTGCCATATATTTTGTTCATATTGCCCAGGTTATTTCAGACATCCATTACAAATCCATTAGAACGTACACATTGGGAGATTAAAGCACCCAATGTGTACCAAAATGCAAGAACAAAAATTTAATATATTGCAGCTTACCAGTCCTTACATATGGTGATTGCATTATTTTTCTTTTTGAGACTTTGTTCCTTTTTATTAACCTGCCACTAACATGTTTCCTGTCCTAGGATGGCAATGCCCACCCTGTATCTGTGGAGGAATGTCATAGCCACCCTAGGACAACCACAGAAGCTCTCATCTCCACAATATATGGGAGTGGTGGACTGTGCATGGATGATAATGGTGCTTGCCGATGTCAGTGAGTGCACAGGAAAATAAAAGCTCACTAGACTTTTAGCAGGATCAACAGGTATTTTTTTGCACTTAGTGAACAGAAATAACAACTATTTTGGTGCCATATTTCAAAGACCAAAACGTGAGCATATAAATAATAGAAAAGAAAATATGTGTGACTTTTACAAAGTAACAAGTAGGACAATGCACTGCAATTTACTGATTGTAAACAAGTAAAGCACAATGTGACAGCTTACTGATTTCTGGATGAGATCCAACAAAGCTGATCAAGTCCCTCCTTCCTTATAACCTCCATAAGAACCTCCCTGGACGAGTTGCTGTATACAGTTCCCAGGAAGTTGCACAGGTACGGCCGGGAATCATGAACCAATGACCAGGTTGGATCAACAACTGGAAAATTTCGATACCTGTAAAATGTTCATGCGATATAAAGTTGTTGGGACTTGATTAATTCAGGAACAGAGGGTAAGCATACATTGGGTAGCATTATTTAGACCCTTGGTTCTCAACTGGTGGGTCGTGACCCAAAAGTGGGTCACGACCCCGTGTTCAGTGGGTCACAGCATGCCTTCCACTTTTCTAGACGATAGGCTACTCATCCTCCACCTTTCAGAGCACTGTCAGTTTCTCACGCCAAGCAGCCATTCAAAATATGCTGCCCAGCACAGAGTGTAAATGCTTGAGGCAGAGTGGGCTGCCGCTATGGCCGCAAGAGAGCTCCATCCATAGGTACAGCTCCCTTGTGTGTCCTGTAGAGGTGCCTGGACTGCAGTGATGTCACATTCTGGCTCCCAGCACCTCTACAGGGCATGCAAAAGAGCTGGACTGGCGACGCACATATGGATGAAGCTCCGTCACAGTGCACTAGCCCACACTGGACCCCAGGCTGAGGATCCACTCCAGTTCGCCTAAGGTAGGGAGACTGTTAATGCACTGTGTTAATGCACTGTACCACGCAATTGCACCTACCACGTGTTCTGGTGTGGGAGGTGCGTTGCATTGCCATTCATTTGAATGGCATCCAAAACACTCCTCCCACCCACATTTCGATCACCCGCACCAGAATGCGCAGTACCGCAGTGCGACTTGGGTCACAACTTAATGGCCAAGGGCAAAAGTGGGTCCCGAGGTTACACAGGTTGAGAACCACTGATTTAGACCGTATACTGCCAAGTCATTAATATACCTTTTATAGGATCATCAGTTTAGCAGCAATCATACACTCAATATTTATAGCTTGCTTCTAGATTAGGAACAGCAGGCAATAAGCTGACAAAACAGCTGTCCTAATAAACTGCAGTCTGGGAGGTATGTGTGCGTGCGCGTGTGTTTTCTTCACCATAGAGGTGAATTGAGACTGCTATGTGCCTTCAACTCACTTCACAATATTTCAAGTGAGGTGTATTTGGCCCTGTGTATGGGCTATGCGATGGGGATAACTGCATCACAATTTAAGAAGCTGGTGTGTGAATTAGCATGCCCTCTCCAGCAATAGATGATTATTTCAGTTTAAAGTGGACTTACTGCTTCTTATTTTTATGCATCTGAGCTCATTTATAAACGAGCATTGACATCATACTTACGTTGCAATCCCTAGAGGCCACTGAAAAATACTTTCTTCATTAACCCAAGTGCTGTCATAGACGAGAAATAGAAGTTCCACAAACCCTCCATTCGTCTTCAAATATGGAAGGATCCAGTCATTATTGCACTGTTCATTTCCCAGCATAACGACAGCAACATGGCGAAGCTTGTGATTCTCAACCAATGCCCGTGCGTACTGCAGCCACTGAGCAGCGAAAGAAATCTTTACTTCCTCTCTGCCATTCAGAACAAGAACAACATTCACTGCATCCACTGGGAAATATCCAGGAGCAACTGCCGAGCCAGTGATAAAACTATGCACAAAATAAGAAAATAAAAGTTAGAATAATATTACAAATTGATGTTCCATATTCTTAATTTACCAGTAGGAGAATGTGATGTCATGAACTCAAATAAGGGCTCCTCAGTTGATTAGAAATGGAAATCTTTATTGACTTTAATCACTAAACTGGTTACAAGGGCCCCTATACATACCTTTAAATATCTTCACGAGAGCCCCTGGCAGCTCTAATATGCAAAATTCTGACACTTCCTGGCAAGGTCAAGAGCTGGCCCACCCACTTCCTGTTCCTTCCTCTTGACCACTGAAACCAATCCTCACAATGCTAAGCACAGGTGTGGTAGGTGCAGAGACAGTTCTTAATCCTACCGTTGCCAATCAATGTTTATAATTAAAAGCTCCATATGCTTGGCAGGGGTGCACAAATTAATCTGAAATCCAGGAGCCAGCAGGGTTATTTTTTTCAGGTCCACTGACAACAATTAGAGAAAACCTCAAAAGTTAGGTTGCAGCTGGAATTTTAAAGTGGAATCGGCTACACGGATCTTGGCATTTGCCCAGCCCCGCTTGAAAATATGTACACATATATTTGAGATTGGAACATGAGTCATAAAAATGTTTGACATTAATCATCTACCTGAATTCTGTTCTTCCTGTCTTCAGTTTGCCTTCCCTCCACTGAGCATTGACATCAGAGGGCTCAAGTTGTCCTTCAAAAACATTTTCCCACAAGTAATGTCCTATAGAGAACACAATATATTGTAAATGAATATATTTGGTAACATTATATGCTCTGCTATACTGCTTTACTGCATACTAAAACCCATACTGGCAATTCACATTTCAAGATACATTGGAGGCAAATGAATAGGCATCACAATGCAAATATCAGGTTTAATTCATTCTTCACAGCCAGCGCCACTAGTGACTGTCAGAATGAGCCAACATTTATGCTTACAGCCTCCCCTAAGCACCATTACATGAGGATATCCATTCTGTGTAACCAGTATACAAATACCTTTCCTTCGTCCTCTGTCATCGTTCAGCACCGGAAGCCAAAAGGAAATTCTTTGTACTTCTGGATATGGGTAGAGCATGTGACAGGGCTGGGCCAATCAGCATTGTCAGATGGGGAGTCCATTGCCCAGTGTACAGTAAGTTACAACTTCTAACTTACACAGGACTTTTATTCACTTCTTGCAGCTAAACTGAGCAGCAGGGAAGCGAAGAGAAGATGTATGCTCCTAATGGGCTAATTTAAAGTGAACATGTTGCTTAGCTTTGCATTGGCAAAGGACATGATCTCTTTAAGGGTTCTATTGCTAAATCTTCTACCACATAAACTGGGCAAATGCAGTTTGAATGGCATTCCTGCCACTAGGTGGAATCGAGGAGCATAGGAATGTTCTACGCTCCTCAGCTGCATCTAGTTCCAGGAACGGCTACGCCTATGGCTGGTTTGTAACCACTTGCCGTCCGCCCGTTGTGAAAAAACAGACGGGCGGCAGACTCACATTGGCGGGTTGCCATCATAAGACCGCATTTTTTTCATGCGCGGGCAGAAAAAACGTGCCCGTTCTTTACAGCCGTTACCGGCTGTTTCACATACAACCGGTCAGCGGTTCTATAGCCACTGATCGGTTGTATGTTGCGATTTGCCTGCGCCCCCCCCCCCCTCTGACCTGTCAAATCCCGCAGTCTGGAGTGCCCCCCCTCCTGACCCCTCACCTTCAATCCCGGGATCCGCTAGCCCATCTGCGGCCTGGGACCGGCTTGGGAGGGCGTCAGGAGGTAAGATGGGAGGCAGTTCAGCATCTTCCTTCAATGCTGATCTCCCTCCGTGCTGTGAATGCGGAAGTGATGTGTATTACATCACTTCCGCATTCACCTATCAGTCATGTGGCTGCTATAGCCAGAGAGAAGAAGCTGATGAAGCAGATCTGTGCTTCATCAGCTTCTTTCGAGGTCCCCAGGTGACATTACTATATAGCAAAAAAAATAAACCCCCAGTGGTGATTAAATACCACCAAAAGAAAGCTCTATCTGTCCCCAAAAAAGGGTATAAAATTAATTTCAGTACAGCGTTGCATGACGGAATAAATGTCAGTCAAAGTACCGCAGCGCTGAATACTGAAAAATGGCCTGGACCTAGGGACATAGTTTTTTCCACCTAGGGACATAGTTTGATGTGTATCTCACCCACCAATAGCAGCCTTGCTCCATATCTGTACTTGTAGCTCAGCAGGTTCTTGTTGGGATTCGTGGATTAATAAGCTTTTCCATTTCTCTTTTACTTTCTGCACATGGGGAGCTTTGTTGCTCTTTTCACTTTCTTCCCAAGGATTCCACTGTTCCTTATTCAAGTAGCGGGAGCCTAGAATAGACAGAAAATGTGTTTTATAAACAGGATGAATATCTTTGAATTATAATAGCGAAAAGAGAAAACACAAAATAAAAATGATGTGTAGCCATAACTTTTTACCTTTTACTACTGCGTAGAATAGAGAAGGGTTGAAACCAATTCTGGTCTGTGTACCATTGGGGACATTTTCCTCAACTTCCAGTTCCAGGAATGCAACAGGAAATTAGAGAAAATCTCCCAAAGTGAAGGGAATTCCCCTTTAAGCCAGTTCTCCCTGAAACAGGTGTCCCCTCACATTAGAAGATTTCCCCTCACCTCCTGTTTTGCTTTGTCTGTGAAGGTTCTCATCCATCCAGGTCATGGTATATCTGTAAAAAATAAGTGAAGGCAACTGGACTTGCTGTATTTTTCCTGAAGACGTTTCACTGGTCATACGACCAGCTTTCTCAGTTCAGAATGACTTGTACAAAAATTCACGTATTTATTTCCAGAGAATTTGTGTCTGAATTGAGAAAGCTGGTTGGATAACCAGTGAAACGTCTTCAAGAAAAATACAGCAAGTCCAGTTGCCTTGACTCCTGTTTTGGGGACAACTCTAAATTTGTGATTTTTCCCTTACTTTCTGTCTTGGGGACAATGGTCACTAGGACAAATAGGAGGGATGAATCTCCCCAATGGGGGACACAGAAATAAGAACTTGACAGAGGGTTTAACCCTTTCCTACTCTATCCAAAACTAGAAAGTTTCCCTAAAAACATACACTTTATTTAAAAAAAATGAAAATAGCAAGTCATCTTTTGATATACACAGTATCTCGGTGTCCCTTCAGAGTGACAACACCCTGACACTAGAACCACGAATATTCCCTGGACTTTGCTTCCTGAAGAACTATGTTTAGAGCTCCACTTTTGATATAGTCTTACATATCTTACTGTCATTAAACTGTGACATACATTCCAAACAGATATATTGTTCTGTGTTTCTCTCTAACACCTAGCATCCTGGAAGAATGTAAGGCAGTGTAAAATGCAATGAATATGTGCAACATGTACATAACCACTGCACTTTGCACTGCTTAATTAAAGTGGAACTCCAGCCCAAACTTGGACACAGACATTCATAAAAACCTCAGATGTTCTAATGCATTCCTAGTAGAGGTGCACCGAAATGAAATTTTTAAAAAACAAAACAAAAATAAAATAAAAAAACTCAGGCCGAAACCCAAAAACATTTGTTTTCCTAATATTTTCACATTTTTTAAAAAATATTTTATTTTTATTACTTTACTGTTATGATATTTCCCTTATAAAATAGAAAAAGAGATTGAGGACACAGAGTCCTCAATCTCTTTTTCTGCAGCCCCTGTTATCATTGAACAGGAATCCTCTATACTGAGTGTTGCTGTTCATTCATAACATTTGGCGATAGTATGTTTTCTATAACCACAATCATGAATGAACAGGCGGTGATGTAGATCACTTCCCATTCAGTCATAATTGGAGACACAGTAAACATACCATGTCCTCAATTATTTACAAACACTCAGCAATCACTGAGCGCTTGTACCCACTCTCCATCCTTACTCGCTGTCATATAAGGCTGAGCGAGCAGTGCCGGAAGGAGAGCTGACTCCTCCCCTGCACCACCGGCCCGGCTTCCTGTGACAGCTGTCTCCGCCTCCACACCGCCGCTCTCCTGATCTGTCACAGGAGGCTGAGCGGGGTGGTGTGGGAGGAGAGCTCAGCCTCCTGTTACAGTGCTCACAGCTGTCACTGGCCACACACAGCTCTCAGGAGGCTGAACGCAGCGGTGTGGGAGGAGACCCCGGCCTCTTGTGACACACCGGCTGCTCATATCGCTCCCCCACACCGCTCGGCCTCCTGTGACAGTTTCTTTCTCCCCCCCGCTGGACACTGCGCTGTGTCAGAGAGGACACAGAGCAGCGTCCAGCGGGGAGGAGAGGATAGGATGGATGCACCGCAGTGAAAGATAGCACTTTCTACATTCTGCCAAAAGTGCCATCTTCGGGCCGATATGCTTCGGCGGCCTGAAATTTCGGTACATTCCTAGTCTACTAAAAGTTGTTGTATTGCTATCGGTGTACCTTTTGTGTACCAGTGATGCAACAGGAAGTAAGGGAAAAGCTCTCTAGCTATTGTGCCAGCAGCTGAATAGGGGAAAGGAAAGTGCCATCGGTGGCTAGGATGCCAATATCTGCAAGCATCCTAGCAACTGACAAGCTCAGACCTGAAAGCTGCCCTGCTGCTGTGTAGTAAAGATCAGCGCAAATGACTTGCTCTTTACTGCCCAGTAGCTCCACTCTGAGCCCTGACCGGTCTCTGTACATCAACTTAAAGGAGAACTATGGGGTTAAGGCTTTTCCCCATAGTTCTCCTTAGGGTAACGGGAGGACACAAACTAGCGTCCTTCCGTCAGCCCAGGCTCAATATACCTGTAGCTCGCGGTATACTGAGACGCCGCAGTATACCGCAAGCTACTGCTCGCGGTATACTAAGACGCTGCAGCTGAAGCGGATCCCGACAATTATGTCTGGATCCGCCCAGCTGCGTGACTGACAGCTGACTCTGCCTATCTAGAGGCAGAGCCAGCTGTACCCGCCCCCTTCCCAATCCGTTCCGCCAGTCAGCGCTGGAGGATCGGAGCGGGGGGAATCGAGTCCCTCCCCTGTCACGGCAGAGAGCCAAAGGACCAAAGGATGTCTGGCAGGAGGCAGCAGAAGGGGCCACCCACTGAGCGGGCATTGTCCAGTTCATTAAGAATCAGCTGAAATTGCTCTGTGTATAACCAACTTGAAGAGGAACTACAAGACTTTGAATGTTTCCCCTTGCAGTGGGGCTGCCCCTGCACTGCAAGGGTTAACTGCTCGTTTTGTCTAGGGAGCAAAAATAATGAAGACATACTCACCTGATCCTCAGCCCCACTTGGCTGCTAGGCCGGTCCCCACAGCCTCTTCTTCCCAGGCTACGGCGGCGTAAAGACCCATGATGTCATCACTTCTAATGCAGCTGCATTATATATGAAGACGCCGAGGGACAATCCACTGCCAGAGCGGTGGGGAAGAGAGGTAAACGCTGACTGCTGCAGGACTGAGGATCAGGGAATTATATCTTCTTTATTTTCACCTCTAGACCAAAACAAGCAGTTAACCCTTGCAGTGCAGAGTCAGCCTCACTGCAAGGGTCCATTTGTAAAAATCCTGGAGTTCTTATTGTTCCTCTTTCAGTAATTCACACATTAAATCTCTTACCTTCACCCTGTAATTGCAGATCTTAGACCACCACAATGTGGCCAGTCCCATTACAGTGGAGGCTGGAAAATCCAAGCTAGTCTCTGTACATCAGTCCTGACACAATAGTGTACAGCAGCAGCTCCAGACACTGCACTTACCTCTGCTGTCCTCCTTCCTGGTCACCACCCTGTGAACCCGGGACACTTGCGGTGATTTGAAGAAGACATTGTAGGCGGCGTAGAAGGAGAAGACACAGTACAGGAAGACTATGCTATAACACAATCTCTTTCGGGTGATTCTCATACTGTCTCAATGGCACTCCATGACCTCCTCCTGAGCCTGCAGGGACGCCCCGCCCCTCCCGTTACTCATGGAACGTGCGCCCTGATTGGCCGAAGGTGCTCTCAGGGACGAGATCCTGCTTTACTTCCTGTGATAGGTTGCACGGAGTGTGGCTGATGTTCTGCTGTCAGTGAAAGGCTCGGTGTGTGTTTCTGGAAGAATCAGTGATAGAAAGGGGTGACGGTGTCCTGACTGAAAATAGTATTACGGCTTCAGTCACACCATGTGCAACTATAGTATTCAAAAGAGCTATTGTAAATGCATTTATATGCAGCTAATGAATTCCAATGGGTATATTCACACCTTGCATCTACATCTGGTTATCTGTGGTCAGGTGCATCTAAGAACCAATTTGAACTTCTAAACACATGTAAAAGTGTTAGGATGCTAAATGCATATGCATGTAAACACAGGTCATTTAGAGCAATGGTTCTCAACCTGTGTAACCTCAGGACCCACATTTGTCCTTGGTTATTAACTCGCGACCCAAGTCTCACTGCAATGGAACACACATCATTGCAGTATCGCGCGCTCTAAAGCAGGTGACTGAACTTTGAGTGGGAGGTGCATTTTGGGTGCCATTCAAATGAATGGCAACGCACTTCCCACACCAGAACGCACATTAGGTGTGATTGCATGGTACAGTGCATTCATCGCATGGGACTGTGCAATTAATCCTTAACATGGGGTACAGTGTGGGCTGCTGTGTCCATCCATATGTGCATTGCTTGTACAGCTCCCTTGCGTGCCCGGGAGCCAGCATGTGATGTCACTCCGGTCCAGGCACCTCTACAGGACATGTGAGGTAGCTGTAAGCAATGTACGTAAGGATGGAGCTCCCTAGCGGCCATACCCCCCGCCCACCCCACCTCAAGCTGATACCTGACATATTTTGAATGGCTGCTCGGTGTGAGAACTGACAGTAGTGTGCTAGGGGGAGGCTGAGGAGACTCAGCTAGAAAAGTGGAAAGCATGCGGCAGGCCACTGAACATGGGGCTACGACCCACCAGTTGAGAACCAAGGATTGAAAGCATCTAGAAGCATAAACGCAGCATCTAGTCTGACAGATTTTTCTCTGCATATAGAGGACAAAAACACAAGTAGTAAGTGTGAATGAAACCTTAAACTTAACCAAAACGGCAGGGACAAACTAGATATGTGACCACCACAATGCCCTCCAAAAAAGAGGGAGGTCAGCTGCACTGCTTGTGCAAAACCTATAAATTATTAAAAAAGAACTCCGAGCATATAAAAAATTAACCCTTGTAGTGGGGCTATCCGTGCACTGCACTGCAAAGGTTAAGTGGTCGTTTTGGTCTAGGGTCTATAATAGCAAAGAAATACTCACCCGAACCTTGGTCCCGCTGGCTGTTAGACTGTTCCTTGCAGCTTCTCTGCCCTTCTGCACTCAGCATCCTCACATCTAATACACTGTATTGGACGTGATGACTCACGGGACCTTAGACTGCCAGAGTGGAGGGAAAGAGGGGCTGCAGGGAATGGTCTAGCAGCCAGGCAGGACCAAGGATCAGGTAAATACATCTGTGCAATTTTAGACCCCAGACCAAAACAAACACTTAACCCTTGCAGTGTGGAAGTAGCTCCACTGCAGGGGTTAACTTTTCAGATGCCCAGAGTTCTTCTTTAAAGGCAAACATTTGGGGGACAATAATAAATGCACACTTCTTAAAAGAAAAAAATGTGCATTTTTTTTTTTTTTTTGCATTGGAGAAATTTAAGCATTGTAACTGCAATCAAGTTGATCATAGGTGCAATGCTCTGGCTCCTGCAGACTCTTCCTCCCATCCATATCTGTTCTGAGGTACAGACATTCACTATCATAGACAGGAGGAAGGATGTATGGACTACAATAGTGGTGAAGTCCTTCTGTCACTGTAGCTGATGGAACTTGTAGTTTCTCCATTCACAGATCATGTCAAAGGATCTGTGAATGGATGACGCGGCTGTGTGGGCAGAGCCATGGATAGCTGTGCCCAATTCAAATATCAATATCAGTCTGTAATTCGGGTTGGGGAGAGGTGGCAAGGAGGGGTGCAGATGTGACCATGTTTCGTGTTACACCTTAAATATGGGTATAAAATGAAACATGGTCCAGAAGGTAAACACAGCCTTGAAATGCAAAACAATGAAAAATCCCATATAGCTTACCAAGCAGACCTGTGAAATGTAAATAGCAGTTGAAGACGGTAAAAAACAACAAGCACGTGTTAATAGCTTTAATAACAGCATTCAATAGCGATCTAAAACTCCTTAGATGTGTAAATACTAAGGGCTTATTCACACTAATAGTGGTGACTAGAGTTTTTCATCCACTGAACAACGCCAGTCTCTGTTAGGGTACATCGAAAACAAGTGTTTTCGATGTGCCCTGTTCACACTACAATGTGGGTGTGATGTGTGGTGAAGTGCAAACAATGCAGACATGCTGCTATTTTCCAAAACAGACTAGATGGCACTGCATCACAGCACTGAGACTTGAAGGGAGTGTCTATTTTGTAGACTTCAAATAAAGTTAAACAAAAAAATTTAAAATTAGGAGCCCTTTACCCTAAGGCCTCATTCACACGAGCATTGGCTGACATGTACAGCTCCGTGCTGCGTGCACGGCCATATCGGGCAGCTCCGGGGAAGGACAGGTGCTGCGTGTGATTAGTACGCAGCCCCTCTCCTTCTCTATGGGACTACACAGCCGTAGCCGGCCTACGCTCACCCGCCCTGCACGTCGGTGTGGGTGTCTGACAGGATGGATCCTGTCTGCGTTCGAGCTGGGACACCCGCACCCGTACGGACGTGTAGGGCAGGTGAGCGTAGGGCGGCGTACGGCCGCATAGTCCCATGGAGAAGGACATGGGCTGCGTATTAATCAGCGCATGTCCTTCCCGGGAGCTGCCCGATACGGCCATGCACGCAGCACGCAGCTGTACGTGCTAGCCGATTCTCGTGTGATTGAAGGCTTAAAAGCAATTCCTTACCCCTTAAAAAAAAACAAAAAATCCTTACACCTTCAATAAAGAGAACCTGTCACCTCCAAATTATATCACACAGGGGCTTGTTAGCTCCTGTATGATAGCAATAAAGTTAAGTGAAAAAAATAAAATAAAATTAATTGATAAAAAGTAAAAATTAATAAAATAAATAAAAATAAGTAAAAAAATAAATAATAATGTAAATAAATGAACAAGTGATAAAAAAAATTAAAAAAATAAATACATGTCATCCACTGGAAGTGGTTTTACCAAGAACATGGCTGATGCTGCAGCCATGTTTTGGTACCGTTTTAAACAGCAGATGATTGCTGTTTAACTCCAAGTAATCCGGTGTCGGTACATCACTTCCTGTGTCAATGTGCACATTCTCTGGCTCCTAGAGCCAGAAGAAGAAGCTGGTGAAGCAGAATTCTGCTTCATCAGCTTCTTTGGGGTCCCTAGGTGACATTAGGGGTCTGAAAGACCCCTGATGTCTCCATAAAGAGGACCTGTCACATTATATTTGCTATTACATAGGGTGCTTCGTATGCTTCATATATCCCTATGTGATAGCAATACATCTGAGTGTAAAAAAAAATTAAATATTAATGTAACAGATTAAAAATTGTTTTTGCATTTTAAATTTTTTTTAAGTTCCCCGCCCCCCACGTGCATGCA